GAAACCCAACTGTGAGGTGTTCAGGTTGCCTGAACATGCTAATCACACAAAGTCTATCGAACTAATTTTTTTAATATATATTAATGTATAGATTTTTTTGTTAGATTAAACAGAAGTAAAGTAACCGTTCTTTTATGTAATTTCTTAACTGTACAATGTTTAACTACTTTATGCTTTGAGAGGAAGTCATAATATTAGAAAATAAAAGACATGTCCAAACTCAAATGATTGTCAAGATATAATGAGACTCTAAAAAACTAAGCAAGCGAGAAGTAAGCAACAGGGAACAAATGAGAAGCAGGAAAGAAAAATGAATTAATACACACAAATTCTGATTGTATGTTTGTCGAATTTGGAGTGATAAACAAAATCTCAATTTAGGGAATGCAAAAGGCTTCATAATTTTCAAAAAAAGTTGTTTTTTTTCAAGCAATTTGACAACATTACTAGTGGCATGTACACTGCTGCAGATGACTAAATGGAAATAAATGCATAAGTTATTAAGCATTATTTTTTGGAGGTGTTCAGAGAGTAAAAATAAGACCTGACCAAGCTTACAGCAATGACAGGTTTAACGGTTCAGTAAGTTTTCAGCTAAGTGCTAAACTGAATAATATTCTTTGGGAAATCTGTTTAAAGACACTAGTAATATCAATCTTCTAGAAAACTGCTGTGTCTTAAATTTATAACTTTATAGCGGAAAGTCAGTTCCAGACAAAGGTGAGTCATAGGCCTACTAACCCAAACAAAAAGCCACTTTTTTGCACTGTCTAGCTGTGCCATAATAAGACTAAAAGAAATTGTGGCATTACAGATATTCACCAATACTGAAATAAGATCAAGAAAACAGTGGCCTGCATTTAAAAAAGCAGGATTTAGTTATTACATGGCTTCAATTGAGCCAGTCTTGTATATTCTGTTCTACATAGGTAGAAATTGGTATCCTTGGTCAGATTATTGCTCACCTCAATTTCCTAAGCTACATTTTGATAGCATTGTCTATGAACTAATGTTATGAATTATAAAGACAGAAAAATTACGTTCATGGATATGTATCTTCAAATTGGTGTTGTTGAGATGCAAGACAATCAAGCAGACACGTTTAAGGGTAGTAGAGCCGTTTTATTGAGGATTAGAGACAGGTGGAAAAATATCTACATCTTTTTTTTTATCCTCATTTGTTTTTGCACATTCACTACTCCCATTAAAAAGTTTTTCATCAAGTGATTACAGAGGACAATTACAGAGACATGCATGAAGAAGTGCAGATCTTTTTTTTTTGCACTTGAAAAATGAAGAAAGGAAATAAATAGAAGTGAACAATGATTAGCAAAATGTTGTTATGCTTTGTGAGGCTCTGTTCAGCCTGTCTTCTGTACATTAACTGTGTCTCCGACATAATGTACAGGCCAGCCTTCCTCACACTCCAAAACAATCTTACGACTGGACTCATTCCCTCTATATTTACATTTTGGGTGCCTCTCCCCACTTCGTAATGTACACGTGACTACAGGAAAAGGATTGTTGCTCTCAAAACGGTTATTGCCCTTTGGAGTTCCTCCTTTCTCACACACTGCTTTAATGTGTTTTTTATCCGCTTGTATGAAGGTATGGAGGTCTCTGCAGTCATTTTCAGTTCCAACAGCAACAATGTCTCTCTTACTGATTTCATTGTCACAATTTCCTCTTGTTATATCAGAATCCACATGCCGAGTGAGGAAATTTATATAACGGGGCTTTATTTGTGGTGGTTGACCATAAGCAGTGAAAGAAGCACTCAAGAGCAGCAACAGAATGACAGCAGACTGATGAATCTCCATGACCTGGTGAACAACACAAACATCAACACACTTTCTACTGACGTTTGACAGTTTGGTTGTGATTACTTAAGAAAATACTGATGGGACCCTTCCTTTGTTTTTACTTGCACATATCTTTGCTTTAACCCAGCTGTGCACATTTTTGCACATAGACTGTTTTGTTTTTCTGTATTTGTGTTAAAGTGTTTTTTCTGTACTTATTTTTCCATCTGCGACAATGACAAATTGTTGACAAAGAAAAAGTTCTTGTGTATTTTATACTTGCTGAGTAAAGATCTTACCTTGTTGTTCTGGGTAAAGGAACTAAGGAACAGTTGTCTTCTATTGTCTGTAGGTTTTACAGTAATCGACCGCACAGTTATGAACAAATCCCAGAAAATGCTGATGAAACTGGCTCCAAACACAAGTTTAGACTTCACTGTTGTCTGTCACTATACCGCAGGCTGCAGTCTGTAGTCTGAGGAAATAAACCAGTGCCCTGTATTATGATGCACCTTGCCCAAGCAAATGCAGTCAGGCTTAAACTTGGTATCACAACACTGCCTTTAAAATGTCTCTGGCAACTCCGGCTTTGATCCTCAGACTATAAATTCTTGAGCACTTGCAAATCAAAATGTGACGTTTGCAGTGAGCAGCCAATCATGTGATACATGAAGACACTGATACTCCGCTGAAGATTAAGAGATAATAACCAAGCACTAGACATATTTAATCAGTAAGAGCAACACAATTGCTGCAGTGAAAGCTTCAGAGAAGTGCTGGAAGAAAATAAATATATAGAAGTGAATTAATATTGGCCCCTAACAAGGTTAAAAGAGAAAAAATAGGATTAATTCAAACTAAATATAACTATAATAAACTATGACTCTCACTCTAAAACAGTTTTGCCTATGAAGAGATAGTACTCTTTTAGTTCAGAGATACTCGAGGAGCTGAAATTTGATTATGCCACTTTCCGGCTGATATGTTCCATATCTTTATACTTGTTGTCCTGAACAATCTTTCCTGGAACAAATTTGGTGTATAGCCTTATATGATTACAAATGTGACCTGTGCTGGCAAAATAAGTCACAATCAGTGGCGGAGCCAAACCCGTTCTCATCGATCTGTGTATAAATAACAATTGCGTGTAATGCATACGCCAAATGTCAATTCTGCGTGCATACGATACGCCAATCCTTCCCATTAACTTCGGTGGAGGGCAGAAAAAAAGCCAAATACTTTTTTTTTATGCTTTATTAATTCCTTTAGTAAAGCCATGTGGTAGAGAGAGTTAGCAATAGCAAGGAGCAGTAGCCAGCATGGCTCACCTGCTGAACACATTGTGCTGTGTCCTGGTTGGGAAATGTTTCATTTCAAGCCCAGTCTAAAGGAGTTTTTTTTTTTTTATGTGCACATTGCTGATGTTAATTGCAGAGATGGTACATGTATGTATGGCCTATGTTTGGATTGATGCCAAGAGTTTAAGACAGTGTATTTGTATGCATTTTAGAAGGACTCTTTATTGGAGAGGTTACCACATCATGGTCCAGTTTGAATATGGATTTAACGTCACATATCCCAGTGTCGGTGATGCGGACCATTCGCAAGGTGGTCCTCGCATTGCAGGGGTACAGAAATAGCTTCATAGTGTTCCCCGGAGATTTATCTACCATGTCCATAAAAGAGGGCTTTTATAAAATAGCCAGTAAGACTGATAGGTGACATCACATGAACATATTTACTTTAATACATTAACTTGTTTTTCTCCCCCAAAAAAGCTGATTTCACTTAGATCAGTTAAATTATACAATACAGTACATGTTAATATTATTGTAAATCTTTTTTTTTACTTATGATAGGATTCCCTAGAGCAGGGGTCCCCACACTCGGTCCTGGAGGGCCGGTGTCCTGCAGAGTTTAGCTCCAACCCCAATTAAACACACCTGACGCAGCTAATCAAGGTCTTACTAGGCATACTAGAAACTTCCAAGCAGATGTGTTGAGGCAAGCTGGAGTTAAACTCTGCAGGACACTGGCCCTCCAGGACCAAGTTTGGGCAACCCTGCCCTAGAGAGTCATAGGAGCAATAGACTGCACACATGTTGCAATCTGCACAGCTCTTGGAGAACATGAGGCAGATTATGGGAATAGAAAGTCCTTTCACAGCCTCAATGTTCAGGTAGGTGTATTATACACTCTAAAAATGCTGGGTTAAAAAGGGACAAACCCAGCTATTGGGTTGTTTTGACCCAGCGATTGGGTTCAAAACAACCCAATAGCTGGGTTTGTCCCTTTTTAACCCAGCATTTTTTAGAGTGTACATGCAAGACGATTTTTATTTTCAGTGAGATGAATCATTAACACATGACAATGATCTACTGTACATTTCATCTACAGATGTCTACATCTACATCTACATTTCAGCAAAATGGCCTGGCTCAGTGCATGACTCACAAATTTTCCATGAGTCTGTGTTGTGTCAGCATCAGCGCTTTGAGGAAGGCAAGTTAAATTTGGAACAATACAAAACAATTTAAAGTGTAAATTTTAATTGACAAAGCAAAACTTATACAATTTTCCCCTTTTCTGTCTGTTCTGGGCTTTTTGATGGCCTGTTGGTAGGAGACAGGGGTTACGCATGCCAGAGATTTCTACTAACACCCTATCCTGACCCTCAGACAAGGCCACAAAACCGCTTCAATGTGGCCCTCAGTAAAACCAGGGTCAAGATCGAGATGACCTTTGGTATCCTAAAGGCACATTTCAAGATTGTAACGGCGGTTAAGGGTGTCACCAGAGCGGGCATCACAGATAGTGGCTGCATGTGCCATTCTGCACAATATAGTCACTATCAGAAAGGAGCGAGTACCACCACAAAACCAGCTTCTCTCTGATGTAATTGACCCCATCACACTTGAGCTGGCGCAGCTGTCAGAGATGCAATCACCATTCAATATGTGACTTAATAAAAGCACATTGAAACTGCAGATAGGTCTCAAATGGTTTTATTGTTTATGTGGCTAGGGAGGGAGAAAGAGAAATTTGCATTAATAAGTATTCAGTGTTCATACTAATGTGTTGCTTGGTTTAGGAAGTTCACATACTGAGATCTGTTTTTCCAGCTGTTTGATCTCCAATTTAATTTCTTTAATTTGGAGGCTCCTCAGCTCACAGTCCAGCTCCTTTAATGTGCAGTCCAATTCTAGGCTCCTTTTGCAAAGGGCCCTAACTGAGTCAGTTTCCACCTGAAACAATTCCACCACAAAAAAATCATGACAAGTTTTCTTAAGGCAAGTCAAATCACAAATGGCATGACTTAATATAGGCACAGAACTGGCTGTAATTTATGTGAAGGGTTTAACGCATTACCTTGTTCACATTCCTTCTGAAGCCCATTGAGGTAGAGGCTTCAGTTTCTGGGGCAGGTTGTGAAAAATCCTACAATAAAAGAGACAAGGGCAAGTCACGTTTGTGTGACACATTCAAATGTGTGCCATAAAAATAAATAAAGTCAAATGCATTCACCTCAGCAACGGTTTCAGAACACACAGAGAGGGCGTCTTCGTCATTTGCATCGCCCTAATAGATAAAAGTAAGCAAATGTAAACCATAACTGTTGTAAAGCATATTCATAGTGTTCCGTCTGCTGCATGCTCACCTCTGAGTGGGAGACTGTGTAAATGTGTGCCGGCTTCAACAGGGACACTGTATTTCCCTCTACTGCAGGACGTACAGTCAACCACATGTAACACTTTTAAAAAGGTAGTAATGCATTGCACACATACCCAGTGTCACTTGCTTAGGTGGCCCTCCCCCAGTTCCCTTTCATGGGAACTTCGAACTGCATCCTCTAGGTTTCTCATAGCGACCCCTAGAGGACCCAGTGTCTCGTTCCCTACTCAGGGAACCATGGTTACATAAGTAACCGGAGACGTTCCCTTTCATGGGAACTTCGAACTGCGTCCTCTAGGGGTCGCTATGAGAAACCTGGAGGACGCAGTGTCTCGTTCCCTACTCAGGGAACCATGGTTACATAAGTAACCTGAGACGTTCTCCAAACGTCACACTTCTTTCTGCTTGCTGCAAAAACGTTTTTGTGAAAATGTTCACGAAAATAATAAAAGGTTATGGTAAATACTCACCACTTTGAATTATATTTTTATATTTTGTCTTTATCTGCCGCCAAGAAAGTTTGTAGTTGGGGTTGCATTTAAAAATCAGTGATTATTAATCTTTGATGTAATATACATTCACATTTGTATATACAAATACATTTATACATACATATAGTATACGTATATGTGTACATTTTATGTTCAGCATTTAATAAATTAAAAAAAAAACACTGTAACTGTTAACATTACGTCTAGCACAGTGAAGTAACATGAGTAACTTGAACAGCTCTATCGGAATTAACATTCGATTAATAAATGCTGAAAAACTATTGTTCATTGTTAATTCATGTTAATGCACTTTCACACGTGAGTTTAAAATATTCTAGCTGAGCCCCCAGCGTGAGGTTTTTTTAGGCGACCGTTATTTTAGAATGTATCGCCTTATTGTTTCCATGGCGACGCGTCATGCTTGTCATATGACACAACAGGTTAAGTTCTCTAAATAGTTCCTCCAGGATTTCGCGGGACTTTTTTCTGATTTTTGCGGCCTAAAAAAGCTGCTGCTTTTCTCAAAATTTGCGGTGATATTTGCAGCATTTCTTATTGTTTTGCAGTGAAAATATACCACAGACAACATTCTTCTAACATTGTTATGACTTTTGTGACTTTGAGAACCATTGTAGGGCTCCAGACTAACATTTGAGGACACCAGCACCAGTGCCATTAAGTTCTACAGAAGGTGGCACCAGTGCCTGACAGTAAAGCAGATGATGAAATGTCTATTTGATGTCTGCACTTACATATGCAAGGTGTATTTTTTTGTGTGTTTGCTCATTTGCAATATGTCTCTAAGAATTTCCTGTCAGATGTCAAATATACATTTATTTGAATGCATGTAAAACTGCTTCTGAGACGATTGTCAGATTACACAGCAGATGTTTCCCAGATCTTTAGCAGACGTTTTACAGATGTACTTGTGCTGTCTGGGTAGTTGAGATGCAGATAGAATTAACTTTTATTACTCATAATGTCTAAGCATAATTTAATAAATACAAATATATACACACACACACATTAGGGAGTAGAAATGGCTAATAAGCCTGTAGGCTAGCCTGCTTCTCTGCAGCCATCTACTAGTGGTAATTTAATGTCTTTTTTATTTTAAAATAAGTGTTTGCTTTCATACATTATGAAACTTTCATTTTATAAATGGGGGCAACCTATGAAGGATGAACAAATAATGTCATCAAAAATAACTTTCAAATTCAGAAATACTTAAAGCTTTGAAGTGCTGGGAAATGTTGTTTGAAGCATTTAAAAACACTCAAAAACATTAGACCATTTCTGCCACAAGTTGTTCCTGTAGTTTTACTATGTTAAACCCATGGTGAATAGTAGTGATTTGTTTTTGTTGAACAATGTTTTTCATGGTTTCCACATTTCGTGGCGTTTGTTCTGATATCTGTAGCTTTAACAGAATTCTGCGCCGAATTTGAATGCTTCTCACAAGATTTCACAGAGATGTTATTGATTCTGCTGCGAATTCCACTACTTTCTTCACTGTATCTTCCAGCGCTATGTATAACAGTGTCGCGTGATCGAGATCAGCCGCTTCGGCCCGAGCAGATAAACGGTCTGCGCTGCATAGCTCAAAAGAGTAGCAAGGGTTCATCAGAATCAGAATCAGAATGAGCTTTATTGCCAGGTATGTTTACACATATGAGGAATTTGTTTTAGTGACGGAAGCTCCACAGTGCAACAGAATGACAGTGACAAGACAGGACACAGACAATAAAAAGAATAATATAAAAATATGCAAAATAGACAATGTACAAAAAGGAAAAAACACAATATATAATATAGACAATTTTGTATGTACAGGTATGATATGTGCAATTTTGAAATGTAAATAAGTATGTGTGTTAAATAAATAATGTATACTAGTGTTGTGTGTTCCATGATTATTGTTAAGTGTGCATAGAGGGAGAAGAGCAGTGGGGAGAGGACGCAACCCTGGGGGGCGTCACTGCTGATCGTATGGGTGCTGGATCGTACGAGTGTTGGAGAAAGATCGCTGATTGCTTTAATGCGTAAGTTAAACAAATACATTCAGTAGGCTATTAATTAAAAATGTGTATGATGTATGTGTGTGTGCGCGTATATATGATGGTTACCCTTTACAATAACCCTTACGAAAAAGAAGTTTATTCAAGTGTGCTATTAGTATACTTCTTTTAAACTAAAAATAGGAAAGTATACTTTTAGTCTACTTTTTATGTACTTCTCAGAAATGGGCTTTATGTACTTCTCAGAAATATACTTAAAATGACATTTAAGTATACTTGACTTATACTATATTTTATCTATAATTGTGCTCCTAGAATCCGTGTTTTCATTGTTACACTGTAGGGGGCGCTAGTACACATCTTCTGTACAGAATTTCCAAAACACAAGAGAAGAAAAAAATAGTTTACTACTGTTATACTTAAAGCATACTTAAACGTATACTTTTATATACTAGAAAGTGGGCCAATGTAGTCCCAAGGAGTATTGAAATAGTACACTTACAAGTATACTACTAGTACACTGATATTTGTATACTTACTACATTAAGTATACTTAAAAATATACTTGAACTTTACTTAAGTATACTTACTAAAATAAACTTGAAGTATACTACTTTTTGGTAAGGGAAAGTTGTATTAGTTTAGACAGTCCCTCCAGGAATTGCTGAATTTATTGCAAAATCAAGCAAACGATTTTCGCAAGAGCTCGCAAATTTTCATAATTGCCACATATTTCCCGCAGATTTTGGGCTTATCCATATAACATTGGTCCGACGGCAACGTCGGGTCCCTGTCCAAAAATAGTCACGGTAGGACAGCATAAATCGGTAAAAATATGTAACACAGAACATTTCCTAAAAATGCATTCAGATACGTTTGTACATCTCTACAGTTCTCTGGGGTTGCATGTATAATTGTTACCTTGACTTTTAGCTACATGTAGTACAATATGTATACCCTGTTGTGAATCAGTTTTAAGAGGACATCCACTATAGGCTATTTAAACCGTTTCGAGTATTAATTTTCACTTTACATATTTCAACAAAATATCTAAAATTGTTTGACTATAGGTCTATTTTTATGCAATTTTGTTTGTTTGTTTTACATATCATTTATTTAATTATTAGGCTACTATAGCCTATATCAGTTTACAATAATTTACATAGCCTACTATTTTAAAAGGCTTAAAGTCAGAAAATGTCTTGGGGGGTGTAACTGTCTGGACATGATTAAATAGATTAAAAGTCTCATTAAAAGCATGAAATTATTGTATTACAGGCCCAAATATGTAAAAAAAAAAAAAAAAAAATTGTATGAGACCAACATGAATACAAAGATTACATTCAAAGAGCATGGCTGAATCAAATGAATCAAATTTCTGAACTATTCACATGTTCTTATGGACACCTTATGGTCTTATTCAACATTTTGTTGTTCCTCTATTCATAAAATATCCTGTTGGACATAAAACGTGGTTTTAGACCTGTAAAGACTTGAACAGGATTATTGGATTTAAAGGCATAAATCAATCAAAAATAGAAATTTTGGCATCATTAACTCACCCTGGTGTCCTTCCAAACCCCAAATGACATGGACATTACAAACTGCACATCACCAGTGAGGGACGAAAGATCTCAAAGACGTTCAGTGTTGCTTCTTATGTGAGTACAGTGAGCCCTTCGAAGATGTGCAACTGTATCTATTCGTTACGGCAAGCTTATGTGAAAAATCATAGATGAAAGCTTTTTTTTTTAATCAAGAGACACATGACAAGCATTGTGAATGTATTGTAACTCACAGCAAATACGTACATGCGAATCACACTGTATATTCCTCATGTTTTGATATTCATGTGATGTACAATGCATTTTATAGTATTCGTTTTAATAAATGAAACGGTGATCTTTGAACGTTTTCTGCCCTCTAGTGGACATTCTGGACAGTCTGAAGCAGGACCTCTTGCCCAAACTCGGTCCTGGAGGGCCGATGTCTTGCAGAGTTTAGCTCCAACTTGCCTCAACACACCTGCCTGGAAGTTCCTAGCAATAGCATGCCTATAAGAGCTTGATTAGCTGGTTCAGGTGTGTTTAATTGGGGTTGGAGCTAAACTTTGCAGGACACCGGCCCTCCAGGACCGAGTTTGGGCACCCCTGACTAAAGGCTGCACTGTTTTAAACAGTTGTGTAGCCTATTGTGAATAAAAGACTGCAGTTTTGCTATGACAGTTCAGTTTTGAGTTTTTAGGAACTTTTTTTATATATAACTTTTTAATAATAAAGTTTTATTATTTATTTGTTTACAATTATTATTTATTTGTTTTATGAAATAATTGTGTTAACAATTGTGTATAAACATAGGACTAATGTCTTGGTAAGCATTCTAGCTACCTTGAACTTTGACCTGGTGGCTTTTTCTAACACACCCATTCAATGTCTCAAAACGTTTGATAGTTGAGGTGTGAGCTGTACAACCGGAGTTGTGTAAGATTCGGTTCCTGTGAAAAACTGCTGGAGTGGGTGGAGTTTATGTGAATAGTCATTAGTTCCCATGTTATGGCGTGTCCTTGAAAAAACGCGCAAACGAATGGAACTGAAAATATTAGTGCAAGCTCCCCATTTTGTCTTTTT